GTTTGAGACAGTTTGTAACTTATGAGCTTGTCTTTATGGACTTACGTAACCATATAATGGTATTTTAGAGGGATACAGTATAAATGCCATCCATTTATTTATTTTTATTGTAATTGTGTGTAGGTTTTTGGAGTTTGGGTATGGTCGAAGAAATACAGTGAATTAAATTTGGAGGTGGGATTAAGGTTCCTTTAAGACCTCGTCAAATAAAAATAAAGAAAATATTTATTTTTCCCTAAAGAATAATCTCACTCTTGTGTTTTCCAAGCTGCACTTGAAGCTAATATGTGAAGAGTAAAAATAATAGTTAATAATGATATGGTTTAGGCAGTATGCTGTATTTTATTCTTAAAAGCATTTCAACAGAGCCTCTCTTCTGGTAGTTATTTTTCAGAGAAAAACGTTAAGTAGCTGTTATTCAGAATGCATGAGTATTTAACAAAACTGTTATTGACTTTGGGTTTTATCTTAGTAAGTGTATTTTTTTCTTCCTATTTTTTATCAAACTATATATTCTACATTCAGTATTATGAAAAACTGTACTACAAACAGTGTTAATAGCTTAGTATTTTAGTCCTTCACAAATTCATGCCTGTGGTAACTGGATGATTTTAGGCCTGTTCTTATAAACAAGGCCTTACTGATGTGCAAGGAACAGTAATATGTGACAAAAACTCCACATTAACCAAGGTAAGCAGTATAAATGGGGTGTAGGAATCCCCTGGTAGACTAAAAATCTACAAGAGAAAATCTCCAGAGCCTACAAATTAACGACCTCCAATATCATTTTAAAATAAAGCCTTTTATGTAGTAGGAGAGCATTTTTTTCAGCTGATAATCAAATGACACTATTATGCAGGCTTACTAGATTTGCAAATTTACAAGTTTTTACAAGTCAGTTGGGTCCCTTCCTCAGGAAATCAGTTTAAGTTTTTTTTTCCTGTATTGACTCAAAGAGCCTGGTTGTCCTTAAATCCTTCTGAATATATTTGCCTTATAATTTGACGGCATTGAGTCAACACCCTTATAGGAACTGTAATGCAATAAAAAGAGAAACTGTTCAATATAGTTTCCAGTTACCTTAGGATCAGATTTGGAGAAACTGGAATGTACACAATAAAACCTGTGCAAGACTTGAGTTCCATGTTGTTTTGGAAGCAACCAGTGCTTTTCAGCATAACATGTAATTTCAAAGCTTTGCTCTGCTTCCAGTGGTTGTAAAATGATAAAAATGGAAATGTGTGTGTCTCTTGAAATATGCATTTTACTGTTTTTAGTTTTTTGAACCATACCTTTGTGGAATTGAAAGCTTCATATACAAGTAACTAAGTGTCGGTGGTTTTAGTCTGTTCATTATTTTATTATAGTGAATGTTTTTGCTCTACCGTGTCCTGCAATAAAGTTCTTTATGACTCCTTTACATTTTTTACTCAAAAAAAAATGTGGATTCAGATGTGCTTGGTGAACTCTAATTTGTAAAATTCTTTAGATTACACTGGAGTCTCCAATATGCATAATGCTTGCAAACAGAATGTGTAAAATTTAGTTCTGTCTCAGGTTTTTGTATGTAATTAGCAGTAATGTTACAAATTGTGTGTATTCAGAAATAATTTTTTCCTTTATTTCAGATAAGAATTTGTTGCATTTGACCATACAGTTTTAATTGTGGTTTAATTTCTAGTTTTTCAAATAAATTTAACCTGATGTAATTCATTATTTTTATTTTGGCAAATGATTATAAAAAGGAAGAAACTTGCATTTGCATACACCTGTAAAGGAAAAGATTACATTTGATGTGTTTCCAATGAATAATTTCTAAGATAGGTAGCTAAATGGGCTTAATTGTAGTAATTTTTCCTTTCTTCAACTTATTCTTAGTTGACTTGGAGCATATGCGCACAGTGAAAGTTGACAAGCACCAGCGATTTTGTCAGGAAAACAATTTCAGTAGCCATTTCGTGTCAGCCAAGACAGGAGATTCTGTAAGTATCCTTGTAGATGTCTTTTTTTATTTTTTTTTTTAAAGATGCAGCAGTTTTATTGTACTTCACATATCAAACCATTGAGAACTTTGTCTGCTGTGGGTCCTTTTTGACCTTTTTGACCTTTTAACTGATTTGCAGTTCGAGGTATAGATTTTAAGATGGAAATGGTCTAACTTATATATCGGCATGAGAACTGAGACCAGCTGGATCTCTGCTGTCAGCTTGTAGTTATATGTATTCCTTAGTTCCAGGTGGAGTCCCATGTATAGACCATCCATATAGAAACTTCCAACAGTTGATAATGTCCCAAGGACCTGTTGCAATTAAAGTTTTATAATATGGGTCCTGAGCCATGAGAGACACTTTTTCTGCAGGTCCGTTGAAATTTGAACATTCTGGTATTTGTAGTGCTTTGCAGAGCACATTTTTGAACAATCTTTTGTCTCTGATCTAACTGGGTTATTTGTTTTAGTTGGAAGCATATGGAAGGAAAGGTTCCTTTTCAGTTGACTGTATCAGTCAAATTAAGTCACATTGTATTGTTGTGCTTGATTTCTCTCACATGCCTAATGACTTTATCATTCCCATAAAACAGTCCTCTATCTGTCTCCTTAATGTTACTTATGACAACATAATTTACTTTCCTTTTATGTTATTGAATGGTAAGACCATGTTCAATTATATGGAAGTATAATTCTGCAGCACAAATAGAATTACTCATTGTTTTAAGATCTTTCATGAAACTTCTACAATGGACTGTCTAATTTTATAAGATAATAGTTTTTCTGTAAAGTCTAACAGTACTGCTGTTAAAAATGCAGTGAGTCCAGATTCTCCTTATAGTTTGTGTTAAATCTTTGGCATGAATTTTTGTTTAAAGTGTGAAAATTTGGGCTTTTTATGCTAGAAACAGAAGAAAAAGTTTATAATACTTCACCAGTGAAGTGCTCATCTGATAAAATGTATTCCTTTCTCAAGGAGATAACCTTTTTGTGGGATTTGGTAATAGGAAGAAAGAGCAGTCCTTTTTATAAGGTTAATATATTTAACATTACAAATCATGAAGGAATCTTTATTACGTCTTTTCAATTGATTCGTGAATTACAGCAGTGTCCCACTGTATATACTGATTGTACTTTTTTAAAAACAAAAGTAAATCTGAACATAACTTGAAGCATTAACCAAAAATCTCTGTTTAAATTTATCTACTAATAGAAGAAGGTATAGAGTATGGTTTACAGTAGTTAATTTTTAGTTTCAATATAGACTTGAATTAACCCTTTCACTGTTACTGCACACTGGCCTCTGAAAATCTTCATGTATTTGGGTAGTTGTGCAGCAAAAACAGGGTGTTTACCCCAGACAGTGATTTAAGAAGAGGCCATCCATTGCTACCGTGGATGTAGACTAGAGTAGTCTTAAATACTCAGTGAAGATAAATGAGGTCATTTGTTTTGTTTACCTCAGATCTTTCCAACAGACTCATTTGCAGAAGATAATTTTATGTATATAGAAAAGCCAAAAAGTTTACCCAGGGGAGAAGAAATTTAACGGAAGATTTAGTATAGCTAAGTATCTTACTGCCCATCAAATTGCATAACTAGAGCACTGAACTCGTGCCTGATGCTTTGTGCACAAAGCATCCTCATGGAAGCTGATCTAGCCCAGTACACCTGAGAGCCTGGTGTGGGCTAAAGTAGGTCTCTGGAAAAGGTAAGCCTGTTCAGGATTTCCTTTCTTGCTGTGTGGATACTAGTAGAATAGACCAGTACTAGACCAAGTAGTTCAGGGAAAGCAAAATTATTTTGAAAGCTACCATGGTTTGTTGATTGTGCCACTAATTTGTTACTGGTTTCCATCTCATGTGTAAGAAGAGATTGTGTAAATGGTATTTTTTTCAATTTTCGTTGCAAATGACTAAAAACACTTACACAGGCTTTACCTTTTGGAGGTGGCAGCTGCATGATGAAAAGCAGTATTTGATAGTAGTTTAGATTGTGAGCTCAGTCGAAGAACTGAGTAGATAAAATATAACATGTAGCTTGACAATACCATTTTCAGCAGCAGAGCAAGTTTAGGCTGCTCCTCTTTTAACATCTGCTGTGTTCTTTAATCTCATTTAAAATGCAGCTGCCTAATGGTAAGATTGGTGGACTGGATTGAGATGAAGTTAAGGATTTATTTAAGACAGCATTGCCACCCAATGTCCAACCATGTCCAAGGCTGCTGCATGTCGTACAGTAACTTGCTTCTTTCCTAGATACTTCTGTTCAGTGTAACACCCCCAATGTTTTGTAAGACTTCAGAAGAAATGTATCATTGCTTGGCTTTCATATTGCTGATGTTTTTTAAACATGTGCAGTACAGATTTTGGTGATGTTGATGCACAGTACTGTTGTTCTCAATTTCAGAAACTGAGTTCTCTATTGCACAATACACTGGTGATATATTTTTGTGCTAAACATTAGTGAATACCCTTATTCATATTTTATAGTACTGAGAGTAGTATTTGAGAGGTGGTGTGTGTAAAAGCTTGTTTAAACTTAGGTCTCTGGAGGCAGAATATAAGAGTTGCTTAACAGTCCAACGTACTGTTCATTCCTTGTACCATTGTTGAGTTATTTACCCCAATTTTTAAACAAAATTGAATGTACCAGATGAGGTTATCTTCAGATCTGTTTTGCACAGGTCATAATTTTGTATATCTCATTGTTTACAGTTCAATAATGGTTTGATATATTTGAAAGAACGTCAAGGATGTCTGGTTTTAGTCATTTAAATGCAATTTAATTTTCTTCCATAGGTCTTCCTGTGTTTTCAGAGAATTGCTGCTGACATACTTGGCATTAAATTAAACAAAGCAGAACTGGAACAATCACAGGTGACTTTCCACAAATACATGGTTTTTCTTAGTATTTTATTTAGTATTGAAAAAATAATCTCATTGCAAATTAATAACTGTCCTTTACAGCAAGCTGCATCTGTTCTGAAGACAATTATTTTATTTCACAACAGCTTTTTTTTAAATATAAAAATTCTTGATTTATCCATCACATTAAACTTGCTGAAACAGGAAAATGTATGTTCAGAAAATTAAGAAAAAAACTTTAGTTTGAGAGCTGTTTGTTTAAAAACAGTACTTAAAATTGGTTTAGAAATTAAAACCTCTCTATATGTACGTGTATGCATTATATACATACATATATACATTAAATACTATACATTGATGTCAGATACAGTTTTAATGACAGTTGTTCTTTTTTAATTCTTTACATATTTAAAAATAAATTTCATTTTAGAACACTACAAATTTAAATGATAGAAGGCATAAGCTTCTCTGAGTGGAAATTTTCTAAATCAGTCTTCATCGTAGTCATACAGGAAAAAATACTATTTGTTAGTCAGAGAGTCAGGAATTCACTATGTCAAATTTTATGTTTGATTAATCTCAGATTTTAGTCTTCATTGTGTACCTGTGTAATATAGGACCTCCTTAGTGAGTGTATGCCTTGGTGAAGGAATATTGATTTTGAAAGATCACTATTCCCCATTTTATTCTGGTGTGCAAATGAAAAATGAATCCTGTTCTGATTCAGTAAACTCATTCTCACCAGCAGCTAAACATGTGAAATCATGCATTTGGGTAGCTATTATGGCTCTCTGGCATCTGCAATTATTTTTCTCACTGTACCGGTCTCAAATAATCTCCCCCTAAAGGAGCTGCATAGTTTCTGGCCTTGCATTTTGTGTTTTGTTCTGTGTGTTATGAGTGTTATCTTGGGGATTTTCTGCCATTTCCTCTGCAGTAAGAAAGAGGTGAGAGACGGGAGAATGTTTCCCAGCAATAGGTGCAAAGGTCATCAGGAAGGTTGTCCCCCATTCTTGTACGTTGGTTATCAGTGAGTTAGGGATGTGAATATAGTGATTTCACTGTGAACACATGGCAAAACCCTGTGTGTAGCAGGGCTTTGTTGCAGTTCATGCTGCTCAGTAATTGCTGTATGCAAAATGACTCTGATGAGAGCTAAAGATTTTTTTGCTATTTTTAAAAATTTGGACTGTAACTATATTCATTAAAATGTGAGTACTTGCTTAACTGTATCTACCAGAGTTGGAAGTCACTTAGTTTTTATCAGTGAAAGTTAGGATATCAGAAATGTGTTCATTGTTCAAATGAGCAAGCAAGCAAGAGGTTTTCTAATACAATCTCTTTTCTGTTACCACCTCCTTCTTCCTGGTTCCTGCTTCTGAAAATAATTTTCCTGCAGTAAGACTGTGTATATAGCTTTAAACCAAAAAGATTTTATACAGTTTCAGAAACCTCAAGAACAAAGATTATACTACTGAGGCAACCCTTACTATATAATGACATTTGAGATGTAAGCTTCTTTTAAATTTACTTACTGAACCAAAAGGTAGCTGTTCTAGTGGTGTAGTATGCCAGAACTGCTAGTTACTGATAGCATTAAACAAGTACCACAAAATACATCAACAAGTTTATTTAAAAAAAGAGGCAAAACATTTCATACCTGCAGCTTGGTCTCCTGCTTTTTGAAATATACAATAGATATGTGATTTATGAAAGTGTTTTGGCACAGCGGTGTTTGCAATCTGTGTTGAAGTGGTTAAGCAGAAAATTGTATTGCAAACAGTAAAATGGTAAAATATGCTTATAGTGCATACCTAACAAGCAAAGCTAAGGGGCTTTGAAAAGCTGTAATTTATAGGTAGAGAAATATTGAGTGTGTTTTTTTAATGATCTTTTACTACTAAGGCACTGTCCATCTATTGTTCTGAGCTCTATGATTATTTACATATAAAAAATATAGTTCTTTAATTTTTCTTTGGTTGTTTAGCTAGCACTGGAACATCAGGCTTAGACCTCTCTGTGCTTTGTGATGTTGTGTTCCAGTAACTCAGGTGTAAGCTTGTAGACAGATATGCAAATAATGTAAATTAAAAAGACAATATGATAAATGGGCTTACACACTAAATTGTAGCTTTCTAAAGAATGTCTCAGGTTGTTTCTAAAGAACGAACCTCTGTATATCCCTGACTCAAGAGTACCTAACTTTCTATGTCAAATTGGTATCAGCTTTAAGTGGGCTTATTCTTACTTGAGGAATACAATACTTGAGTATTCTAATTACAGTTTTTAATTTTCTTGAACAGATCAATGGAATATGCAATATGTGGATCAAAGTCGATATTATGCAAATTGCAGTCGCAATAGCCTATAAATAGTTAATAAGCATAAATTAAATACTCACTGTGGCCCACACATTACTGTTAAAGTGAATCCAAGCTGTAGTAATTAAAAAAAAGGTAAAAAAAACCCTGAAAAACCAAGAACAGCAACAAAAGAAGAAAAAATGAAGCAAAGCCAGTAAATGGACTTGGACAGAAAAGAAACTTCATTGTTGCCATTCAGGTACAGCAGAAGTTGCTATGTGGTGCTATGCTGTGCATGTAGCTAAAGAGTGAGAGCTGGAAAGCAACTGACTTTGCAATGTTCTGCTAATTGAGCACAGTTTCAATCTACTCTGAATAAGCAATAGTTCTTTGTTACCAGTAAAACTTTTGCTTCCTTTGAGAGTACTATTTCGAGTGGGCGGTAGGAATTGCCCCAATTTAAGTCAGTGAGAAACCAATGGGAATTGTATTGGAGTGGCTGTCTGTTAGCTATGTCTTGAGGTTCGTTGTTGTATGGAACCAAATACCTTGGTCACTTCTTAAGATACGAAAGGGAAAGTCTCTACATAAAACTGGAGAAGGAAAACTTTAACCTTCGTATCCTCAGGGAGATGAATAGAAGGACATTTCTTGAGAGAAATTTATTAGTCTGCAGTGGAAAGGCCTAATTGAAGTAAATGTGTAGATGCTGTTTCCCAAAAGCATGGAGCTGGTCTCTTGGCTGGAAGGAGGTGGTATTTGATGATGTTGCCATTACCAGGTTTCTGGTTTACCACAGACTGTTTTTGTGACAGGTACAGGTCCCTTAGTGTGGTGGTGTGTTGGGTGTGTTTTTGTTTTTTTTTTTTCCCTTTCTGTCTGTAAAATGGGCACAGGACTTCCTTAAATTGTGGAACAGTTATGTGACTGTGTTCCTTAAAATTTTTAGGCATTTAATACTCTAGCTGTTGGACTATAAAAGCAGATAGATGCATAGATAGAGGTATACTAGATAAATGCTATAAAGAAACAAAACTGATACAATAGTAGGTGTGACTCATCCTTACATCAGGAAGTATGCAGGTGTTGACTTGGATTTAATCTTTAAACAAAGAGTAAAATACATTTTAGTTTTTACAAATGTGCACTATTTACATGCTGGATTATATCTTTGAATTTTCCATATTTTGTGTAATGTGAGGTTTCCTCATTTTGAAAAATGAGAAGGTTGCTGCTTGAGTATGTTTGTCAGAGGATGTCAGATGTCTTCATTCTATCTAGCATTCTAACAAAGTATAAGATGAAATACTGAGTTTGTGTAAAATGCCAACAGTGAAATACTATATGGGAATTATATTTTATTATGTATTTCTTCATTATGACTGATAGTCTAATATTAAGAATACTCTTTAAAAATTTTTTCTAACACTTTTGATTTTATGCCTGAAGGTCGTATGTCTTGTGTTTAAAATCAATTATAACTGTGATAGTCACTAGGAAGATCTTAGAAGTGACTCATAGGTGATTAGAAATAAGTAACAGGAATCGCAAGCACGTTACTTTAACTTGTATGAATTTGTGGAGCTTGACTCATAACTTTTGATCTTAGATGACTGGCAGAACTGAAGAAGCTCTTGTGAAACGTGAATGGGGTTCTTGGTCTCCTTCAAATTAACAGTACAACTTCTATTAATTAACTGCAAGAACAAGCCTTAGAAATTGAATTATTTACCATGCATTGTTCTAGAAAACAGCTGCAGTAGTTTAAGATATTAATGCAACCCAAGCTATTTGTTACTGCCCTTTTGCTGGAATTTATCACTCCCACAGCAGAATCAGAAAATGGAAGGTGATCGTGTGCCTTGGTCACATCAGGGCGAAGTTGAGCAGCTGAGTTTAAGCTGCTGCTGAAAGTTGTTTTTAAGTGAAGCTGCCAGACTGTGCTGAAGCGGATGAGGTGCAAGGACATGTTACATTCCACCACCTCTCCTTTGGCATTGATCTCCAGCAGAGGAACAGGACAGACATTTGGGGGTGGTAAGTTTTTAAACTATCTCAGCTAGAGCTACTAAACCTTGTCTGTTAACACGCTGAGATGACTGTTAATCAAACCTTTGTTTGGACAAAACTGTGGTGAAACAAAGAGCTAGATTACTCATTATTTGTGACTGGAAAGTAGAGCATGTTTTCGAAGTGGAACAGTTCCAAAGTAAGAAAATTGCAGATTCTGACTTATTTTGAGTCCTCTAAATATTTGCCCTTTTAAATCACAAGGGTCTGATGAAATGTGAGGAAATAGCTCCTTTACTAATCAAGTGTTTTTCTTTCTATATTTTTTACTTTCAACTGTGGTGTAAAAACTGCATGGGGTACAGCTTTGTTCCTTGGCATTGGCAAGAGCTAGCATTTTTGTAAGTGATGTGTAGTTTTCTCTTTAAATGCCAGTTCAGCAAACTAGGGTATGTGTGCCAGCTTTGTACACTAAAATATTTGGCAGATAAGTCAGATCTGGAATTTGGTGCACCTGCACCAAGAAAGGTTGTTTCTCATTATTGACAGTGATTTGAATCATGGCAATGATATGCCTGATGTAGAAACTGATACAAAGAAGCCCAAGTTTTTAATTACCATGAAGTTAATAAAATGTTGCAGTGGTATTTTTTTTTACTCTTATTTAGATGAAATTCCTTTAGAAAATCCAGGTCATTTATGACAGTCAGTTTCTTGCTACAATATGCCTAAGCATGGGTCACTAACCTGCCTGTGTTTACAGGATGGGATTTAGACCAATGTTTTGAGGAACAATTAATTGCCTACTGATTGCAAGACCCCCCCTCCCCTCTTCAGCTCTAGTCAAAAGATTGGTATGAAGAAACTTGGTCCCGTGAGGTCAGATAACACTGTTCAATACTAAAACTCCTACTACTGCCTTACATGGGATTTTGTAACCTTTCACTTGATAACATCAGGCCAGGAGTCCAGTAAATCATGAATGTTGTCCACCAGATAAGATAATATGAATGTGATCAATTACACTCAGAAGAGTACATCAGCAACTAATAAATCCAGATCCTTTACTAGCCAATTCAATTATTGTTGCTTGTTTGACATATAGGTTTTGTTTACAGAGGTAATCTTCAATGTCTACTGTTTATATAAATTCATATAATCCGGTTTATATATTGCTTCCTTTGAAATAATGGTATTCATATATCCAATTTAATCTTGAAAATACATTGTGTAAAAATTGAAATATTGAAGAAAAAATATTAAACCATTTTAGGGTATCTTTAATAGCAGACCTACATCCTCTGTTAGTTATTTGCTGAAATTGTTCTATGAATTTTTATTTCCTTTGCATGAACACTGTATTCTTAGTGAGGAAAACTGTCAACAGTTTTGTTTGTCTTTAAGGGGAAAAATTAGAGCCTTTTATTTTTACATGAAGTAAAGAAAAATCAAAGTTTGCAGCACTTAGATGTGAAGTTGTTAATTCATGTCACTGTTTTTGATTATACATTTAGTTATAATACGATAGTTACGTAATGGAAAAGATGCATGTGTACATCTAATGCACTTATTGCAGTTGTTGATAGGAAGCTGACTGATGTAATACTTGAGTACCCTAGACTTAAAGGAATTAGGCCACTGTCATCTTTTCTTCCACTGGATCACCTTCCTTTTTATTCTGTCCCTTCTCTTGCTTTAATACACTTTTGTTGATTGCATGTATGGATATTTCACTTTGTTGCTTTGAAGGACATGTCCTTGAAGGAGCTTGAGAAGCAGCCCTGATGCTGGTAGTGATGCTTTTGGCTGAACGTGTTGCTCTTATATCAGCATAAGGCCTGAAAACAACTGCACTTTTGTTTTGCTTCTGCGTGGTCTTTTTATGTCATTCATTCATTCTTTTCAACTACTGATCAATCTTTCCATTTTTTTTCCTTCTCTTTTCTTTTTACATTCCTCTCCTTGCCCTCTATCCATTATGTTGATACATGATTAACAGCATGTTGTCAGGGCAGAACTAGTGAAATATCCTGAAGAAGATAACCAACGTCACAGCACTTCCAACTGCCAGAGCAAAATCTGCTCAATGCAGTAGTTCAGGTATTGATGGAAAACTTGGGTTTTTGTTTCAAAGCTGCATTGCTTTTACATGAAGTAACAACTGTTACAGTAAGTTCTATTGGAAAAATATATTTTGTATCTGCAAGCACTTGTAATACTTAACATATTAATTTGGAACTCTGTGTACAATTAAATGGTGTTTCTAATAACCAGACAATTCATAAAACTTTGAAATGCTTCATGTTACCATATTGGGAAGGTCCTTCAGTGCTGCATATTCAAAATGTTACATAGCTGCCTCAGATGGAAATGGATGCAAAACTGGAATCTCATTTCCTTCTCCTCATATAGGAGAGGCCAACAGTCTTATAAAATGCTTTGTAAATAGAATGGGTAGTATCTGTTGGATCTGTGTTAGAAAATAAATATTTATGGTATACAGTCAATTTTTATGTTAGGCAGACTGACTAAAGACCTAGATTATCAAAAGCTTTTTTGAAATATGGTTGTATTTGAAATTTGCTTTGAATTCTGTCCATATTTTCTTGTGAAGTGCTTGGAGTAAAGATGGAAAGACAAACTTCCATAAAATTTCCAATTACAATTTAGGCAGTTATTCCTAAATAATGCATACCATAGTCTTTTTAAACAAATATTGTTTTATTATTTCCATACAAAACAATTTTCCTGGAAGTAAAACTGTATTAATTGCTTTTGCAAAACAGTTATGTTCCTCTTGTAATGTTCTGAAAACCTACCAAGGCACTTCCTTCTATTTAGTGTGGATAAACTAGTGCTTAGAACAAGAATTAGCACCTGATTAGACTTTCTGTAAGGTAATGAAAAAAACCTTAGTGTCTGTCTTGCCTAATTTTCTTTACTTAATATTTAATAGTAAAATATCTGTTGAATGCTTTGCCAGAATGAAGATTATATTTTCTGATTGTTACTGTGTTTTCTTTTATAACAGAGGGTGGTGAAGGCAGATATTGTCAACTACAGTCAGGAGCCTGTGACAAGAACTGTTAATCCTCCTAGAAGCTCAATGTGTGCAGTTCAATGACCATGCTATTCTTCTCTGTTTTGATACCTTTGGCGGTCGTCCTACCTTGACACAGGCTCTGGGATTACCAGGAACTTTGTTTTAACAGTGACCATTGCAACAATGCAATTAGAGATTTCAAAAACCTGACAGACCATTGTACATTGAGAAGCAGCAGGAAGTTTTTTGACTAGCTGAAATTCAAACATGAGACCACACATTTGGAAAAACTAAGATCTACATTCTTTTAAATTATATTTAAATAAAGCAGTGTAATTGTGTTTATATATTTCCTCCTATCTATTTGACTGATATCAGAATAAAAATGGATGAATAAGTCCTGCATTCAAAATACTTTTAAAGACATCACCATGGAAGGCTATTTTGCCAAAGCATTTAAAAAATATTTTTCTCTTTTTTTTCACCTGTGATCTGAACTAACACTCAGCAAAATGTAAATTGGAAAAGCTATTGCTGGAATAATTTTAAGCACATAATATATTTTATCTAGGGATAATTTGGAAAGTATTTCATAAATATATATACATAGTGCAAAATGTAGAAATTGTATCCAGTAAGAAACAGTGCTTGAAATAAAGCTGTAATATAAAAATAGTTACTTTTCTGAAGTGTCAAGTTGTCCCTGTGGTTGCTCTGAAAAATGCTAGTGTTTTGGTGTATTTTTATTACCACATCAGCATTACTTCTTGCAGTAGTATATATGCTCATATGTCTTCATGAATATGGATGAATCTCAGTCAACAGTTTGGGCTGTAAATGTTGAGTGATATATTCAGCATGCATTAGAAACTGTTGATAGATCAATTAGGATCAGTCATTTTTAATAACTAACTGAATGACTTTTGGCCTGGTACTCTTTTCTTTCTAATTCAGAGTAAATGACAAAACACTGTCTGCTCTGTGATCATCACATTTTTCCTCTCCTCCTTTTATAGCAGTCTCTCCTAGACATGCAGATCTCTGCTGGCACATCTGAATAAAAAGCTAAGGAGATAAAAAAAAACTTAAGCCAGTTTCATTCCAAACTAGAAATCTTTTCCAGTTTTAAGTCTAGAATGTGTTTTCTTATAAAGTACAACAAAACATTTGGAGATTTAGAAAACTAATGAGGCTGAACGAAGGAAACCTTTATATCACAAGTGAAAATGATAAGGTCCTTCAAGTGAGTGTTCCTGTTAAGCTGTTCAAGCAAGTGCTTAATATTTGGAACTATTAAACTATTAATAGTTCAATTAAATAGTTCAACTACTTTAACTATTTTAAAAAAAAGATTGCAGATGGCAAAAATATGCTATTTGTTACTATTTTGGTATATTCCAAGTTCATTGAAAAGCTAAGTTAATTTTTAAACCATTCCACATGCATCTTGACACATAGTTTTATAACTACATGATAATTACTTAATGTTCTAATATTTTGTCATTCAAATGTGGGAAATTCTAAGAAACAAGCTGAGATATTGAGAAATTATTCTACACTAAGGTAGGTGTGAATTTGCAGTAAATTATGTATTCTAGGGTTACAGTCTGTGTTCTTGCTCCTGTCCCATGGAGTTTGTGTCCCACTGTGTAGTGTTTAAATGCAACTGAAAGGTGAACTGACTTCCACTACCACCAGATGAGAACTTCTGTTCAAAGAGGATTTTCTGAAGTAGGTGATGAGCTTACAAGTTTATGCCCTCCAAAGCATGTGGTAAGTTTTTTGAACCCTCAGAGTTCTTGGTGTGTTTGTGTCCTGAACTCTGCCCGTATGTTCAAATATTCCTGAGGACTGCCCTCTCTCTGAAGAGCTGAGCACAGCCTGGCTCAGTTAGGTGGCTGGAGCCATCCTTCTCTAGTGCATGTGAGCCAACTTCATAGTCCTGCTTCCCAAGTAATATGTGGCATGGTCTTAAAACCCAAACAGTGCTTTTCTCATAAAATTTTCTGTAATCTTGATTTTCAAAAGAAAATGCTTTTTCATAACTTGATATGCAAAGCCCATTATTACCCTAAATAATAAAATACTTTTGCTTTTAAGTTTGGGGTAATCCTGCAGTATGAAGGCTGTGATACATGTCCCAGTCCAAGCTATTTTACAGGCAGATTTTATGTCTCTCTCTCATCGCGATCTTTTATTCTCAGTCCCTTTTTTTAGCTGTCTTTGACCTGTGTATCCTTTTGTGTTTTGTTCCCATTGATCTTTTCACCATTTTCTGTGTTTAAGCCCTACCTCCTCTGAAGATATTTTTGTTTACATTTCCAAGCTGCTCTCATTCTTCCTCCCTAACATACATATATGTTATTTACACTAACCAGGAATCTCTTGTCTTCTGTGCCCCCAGCCCCTCCTTTTGCTGCCCCTCTTAACCTCCTCAGATTTTCTGTGTTGTATACTGACTTCCACTCTCCCTGCCTTTCCCAACCCTTCCCACCCTGTTTAGATCCATTACCTGTCCATGTTTTAATCCTTACAAATGAGCTTTGCTCTTTTTGCTCAGCCCTGGGGACCCCACCTTGAGCCTTCAGATTCCAGCTGCAGTGTAAATCCTTAGCTGTGGTAGCTGCCTTTTAAGTGCTGCAGCAGCTGTGGTGGAAGATTCAGGGGCGCCTTTGCCGTTGGTATGGCCGAAGTTCCACCAGGCTGAGCAGAAAGGTCAGAGATATTTCTAGAGGATTAAGCAACATGGAGAGAGCGGTAGATGCTACTCAGCGTGGAAGGCAAGGGCTCTCTGGATACTGGAGGGATAGAAGCAAATTTAGTCAGAGAGGTGTTGGAGGGAGACAGGCGAGCCACCACCCTGTGCCTGGTCTCCTTCTGTAAGTATGCTGAACCACACAATTCGTACATGGTGGAGTTTAAGCATGTGCCATATTAATGCACTTAAAAGTTTTCTGCAAGGTGAGGACTGGTTGAAAGCAATTTAACAAACAGTAATGAAGTTAAACAATGCAACACTTTCCAAAAGTGAGGCGACATATGCTTAATATCCATTGACATGGGGAGCGGGCTGGGGCTGGGGGGAAGCATGTTTTTCCTGAAACTGAGGCCAGATGAAGGGAAGAAACGTGTTCAGGCCCTGATCTTACACAGATCCACACTGGTGAAGTGATCTGCCTGCTCAGAGCTGTTGTAACTAATCATTTCAGTCACAGCTTCGCAGCTAAAAATTGTTTCTAAGTTCAGGTCCTTGCTAAGCTCTGTCTCATGTGATGTGGTGGGTACCAATAGGTACGTTGTGTCTGGCTGTACGGTAGATTACCAGTGCATTTAAACATGTATTTGAAGCACTGTCAGACTCATGCAACTTTTTTATCTTTTGTGGTTCTGAAATCTGGTAAGGTCAAATTGGGGCTCTTTCACAAACAGCAGTGTGATGGTATTTTCCCATACGAACAGCTGCTGTGAGCGCCAGAACCTGTGATGACTTCATAATCTCCTCTCTGAATAAATTGTTCTTTTGACAGTTCATATGAAAAGTTATGAAAAAATATGAAACTTCTTTTTAACCCGAATAACTTTAAAAAATAAAATTTAAAGGACACATACAGGGTCACTAGAAAAATTAAGTGAAACCTTCTCTTTTGAGGAATTTGAAAATTGTTGTTGCTATCTATCTGCATCATTAGGCATATTTACCAAAAAAACTCTGTTCCATAAAGCACTGTTTTGGTTTCACTGGACCTGAGGGCTTTCGGATCAGACAGCTTCTTTTAAATGCAGAGCTTATTTGCTTGTCAGAGTAAACACTGGCAAATGCACCTGATAAAATTACTGTAAAATTTTCGCTATGAGATTATTATGAAAAATATTATCATAATATTTGCAGTTGGCTATTCTTTTGCTGTTTGATTATGATGGCAATTTAAGTAAAAATAATATTTTTCCTTTTTACATTAGGAATATGGTTGCTTTTTCACAAAATAAGCTTTGTAATCTTTGTTTCATGATCATGACCTTTTCCTACAAGCTGTAGTAGAAGGTGTTTAGAAGGTGTCCCTCTTTCATGTGTTTATCTGAGACCAAAGATTTAGATGTTGCTGGGAAGAGCAAGTGGTGCTGAAGCCTTGTCGCTGTGTACCTGTGCCATGCTTGGCCCAACAGCTGGAACTGACTGAAAACAAAACAAAATCCCCCATATCTTCTTGTCTTCAACCCTTTCAAAGTAAATCTTTGTGTATATAACTAGAACTGTATTGTCCTTGTTATGTTTTGTCATTGACTAAATTGCTGTTCCTTAACATAATTAACAATTTTATAATAATGGGAAATTTTCTGCAGGAGAATTTTTCCTGTTTAGAGTACTTGCATTCATTTCTGATGTAGCTTAAGAGTGTATGAGGAGCCTGATAAATGTGCTTAAAGCAGCACTGACTTTTATAGAGGTTATATTTACAAAGCTGATGTGATTAACTACTTTTTCTTCTGGAATCTGCGCACTATTTCCCAAGCAAAGAGGTTATTCTACAATGTTGTATTCTTTCTCAGTTCAAGTACTACTGCTTAATATATCATCTGATTTCTTTAGACTGTCTTTATTTAAAAGCAGCTCATAACCACTTAAAATGTCTAAATAGCTGAATGCTGCTGAAAAGAAAACCCCAAAATTTATCCATGTTTGCGCAGGGGTAATGGCATACATATGAGATTAAAACTCCAGTCCAGATAATTATCCATAGGAAGCAAATTTGTACTCTGATTTCAGATGCTATGAATAGAATGTGATTAGAATTTAATGTGCTACAGTTTTATTTGCAAAATACACAGGTCCTATATAAAACCTCTTTTTATAAAGTGCTCTCTAGAAGCCTTGGGGATCTCTGTTTAACTTGCAAATGCCGAAGTTTGATCTTCCCCAAATAGAAGATAGTGAAGCTCCTGAGTTCCACAAACTGATTTCTATTTTCAGCTTCCCATAGAGAGCTGACTGTTCAGCCAATTTAAACTTTTTTTTTTTTTTTCTACTCCGCTTCATCTTCGTTCATTTTGGCACCACCAGGGCTTTTGAACTGGAAAACTTCCAGTTAGTTAATTGGCCATTTGCCTTGTTTTATGTGGGAGTGATGTCAAGTGCTGAAATAACCAATTGACTGAAAGCAATCTTGTTTCAAAGGTTGGTCAGAACTAAACCT